GCTGAATTTTTTTTTAATCCTACCAAATGACCCCTTGAACAATATATGGTGGGTTTCAATTTTTATTCATGCCATTTTTCTCATGTAAAACAAACATAATTTTTCCCTAAACAAGCTGCTAGAAATTGGAATGTGCATTATATGGGAGAAATACAGTAAAAAACAAATACTGCCGCTTGTAGGGCAAAAACAAAAGTAAAGTCTGCAGTGATCCACAGGGAGCAAAACAATTAGCAGGCTCAGCTTCCTAGATGCTCCTACTTGGTTACTTACTATGAGGAAAGATCTTTTCTTCTTCATTCTGCCTTTTAAAAATATGGTGCATATTTTATTCTGGGGCATAAATAAGAAATATATCACATTTTTTCACAAGAGTTTGTGTGGTGAAAGAGGATCATAAGAAATTTCCTTTGTCTGTGAATGGCTGTAAAGGACATTTCACAATAGGAAGCCCAGCACTCAGGACCATTGAAAGGTTGTTTTTTTCTCTAGCATTCCTTTAATTCCTTTAGGTTTGATTTTGTATAAAAAATTACATACAATATATGCAAAAAGATACTTGTATAAAACATTAACCGTAAAAGAAGAGAAAGTCTATATGAAATGAAATATTATCAAAATGCTTCATCTTTTCTTCCCCTGCCAAAAAAATTGGCCAAAGACACATTTCTCTGATAAAATAGGGATTTTTCTTTGTTTGCCTGCCTCTTTTAGAAGAGTTCTGGTACAGAGAAACGATGGGTAAAAGATCTGGAATCAGTGACCTAGGAAGTGCCTCAATCAGAAAACTTGAGAAAGATGGCATAACCTCTTCTTTTTCAGCTACCGGTATGCCAACATAAGGAATTATTTCTGATTTATTTGGATTAAAATAGGGAGTGAATTTTAAAGAGGGACAGCTCTTCTTGGTTAAGTCCCTGAGTAGATGTTCTTATTCCAGAATAGCAGCACCTTACTTCAAAGTAGCATAATCCATTAATTCATTCACAGTGTGCCTTCCTTTAATAGGGCCCCATTTTTTTTCTACAAGTGCATTAGATTTAGATAATAAATAATGAAACTTCTATACACTGAGAATTTACCACAACACATCTGAATGAAGTTGTTACTCCACTTTATTTTTGTAAGCACCATGGGATTTGGGAATTTTTAGATGCATACCATCAGAGCTCTAAAGCTTGTCAATTCATTTCAGATCGTAATGGTGCAATCTACAACAGAATTGCACTGAACATTGTGCTATCTTGTAAGATGAAACATTAGGCCAACTATCCTATTCTAAGATCCTTTTTCAGATCAAGTATCACTGTTTTCATTCATATTCCCTTGAGCAAGAAGTGAGTAAAAAAACCTCACCAATATACAGGCAGCCAGTTCAGATGACACTTAAGATGCAACAAAGCCTTTAGGGTGCATATGGCTTCCACTGAAACACTGCATAGAAATGAATATCATCCTGACTGTGAACCTGAGCCCAGGTCAGGTCCAGGTTGGATTTTAGCTCCTATTAATTCCTTGAATGCATTAATAATGCTAAATTGAAAAAACCTCATGTTAGGAATATTGTTGTCCCTATTCTAAATTTACAAAAAAAAGCAGAGACATCGGGGTGAGTTTGTGCCCTGGACAACAAACATACCTGATAAGATTTGAGCTCTAGTGTGCTGGAAGGGAGGCAGGGGGATCAAAACGTTGGCTACATGGAGTGGAATTGTGGCAGGATGCTGTAGCAAAGCAAAGTGTTGCTGCTAACAGTCATGTTAATCCTTCTCTGGCCCCACAACCACCGCAGATTTATATGGCAAGCAACGAGGCAAAGCCTTTCATTGGGTGGCAGCTGAAGGACCAGGGAAGGATTAATGTAGCTGCTGGTGATGTCAGCTCCCCTTGCAGCAGGAGGCGGCCTCCAGTCCACGCAGTGAGAGCTTGAAAACTCCCTGCCTCCATGTCCTTGACAAAGCACCCAGGGCTTGCCCCAGCTGCCCACCCTTAAGTTATGCTGCTGGCTGAAAATCAAAAAAAACCAACACAGTTAAATATCAAAAACAGCTAAATTCAGATTCTCTTCTATCCTTTTCCCCTCTTTTTCAGAAGAAAGTCACTTCTCTGAAGACTGGAAATGACACACAAAATTCTGACCGGATAGCTTGGTTCAGCCTACTACAGATTTCTGGCCCAAATGCCAATTTGAAATCCACAGCTTAGAAAGTTCAGAGATTTTTGGATCTGGTTTCTGCTTCTTGCCCATCTCTACTCAAGGCTGCTATTTTTTAACTGATAAATTACTACACCAGCAGGTTTTTGAATTTACATTTGTTTTACACACCCTTGGGTAGTAATTATTTACTCACTCTGTGAAAATAGTGGCACTTTCTTTAGACGTGCCCCTCACTGCTTCAGAATACCAGCCCTGGGAAATGCTCACAGAGGTCCTTTCATTTCCACAGTTTTCAATGCAAGTGAAGCAGTCCTGTGATTCATTCCCTGTATCATAAAGGGGGGTCTGGATTTCAGCAGAGGCTGGTGAGAAGAGGAAAGTTAGTAGAGGCATACCTCGTTTTATTGCGCTTTGCTTTATTGCGCTTCGCAGATATTGCGTTCTTTACAAATTGAAGGTTTGTGGCAACCTTCATTGTTGTCTTATTTTAAGAAATTGCCACAGCCACCCCAACCTTCAGCAACCACCACCCTGATCAGTCAGCAGCCATCAACATCGAGGCAAGACCCTCCACCAGCAAAAAGATTACGACTCGCTGAAGGCTCAGATGATGGTCAGCATTTTTTAGCAATAAAGTATTTTTTAATTAAGGTATGTACATTGGTTTTTTTTAGACATAATGCTATTGCACACTTAATAGACTACAGTATAATGTAAACATAACTTTTATATGCGCTGGGAAATCAAAAAATTCGTGTGACTCGCTTTATTGCGATATTCGCTTTATTGCGGTGGTCTGGAACCAAACCCGCAATATCTCTGAGGTAAAATTACAGTAACTAGGGTAATTCTTGGGTATGTAAAACTGCTTTTAAGGGCTTCCGAGTGGTACTGCTTCTGATCTGAGCCAGCATTTCCTCTTTTTGGAGCAGTGGTATATCAGAAGGAAAAATAAGGTCAGTTTTCAAAGCACTCAACCTTATTTCTGGCAGGTTATCTAGACTATCTAACTAAAGCTAATTTACAACAGGAGATGCCCACAACAGGAGCCATTAAGTCTAGCCAGTCCCACAGCTCTTTTCCCTGGACATCAGTTTGACAGAATTATGATATAGGAAGGCAGAGAACCACTGCTGGAAATGTAACACTGTTTGTCCCAGGAGATTTTTCTCTGCTCCTCTTACCTATTGAACAGTGAGCATTTTTTCATTATTGGTAAGGGGGATGAAAAAGAAATAATTCATAAACAAGAATAAATCTCAAGTAAGTAACTAAGTAACTAAAACATTTTTTTTCATTTCATCTTCAATTAAAGAAAAATGGATTTACCATCAAGGTTCTAATTAAGGTGGGATAACTGATATCATTTCCTGATGTTTTTCTCCCAGCTGGGTGTTCAAGCTATGAACAATGCTACCTTCCTAAGGGTAAAACTAAAATAAATGCACAGATAACATAAAACTGTAACAAATGATGTATTTGTCAAATTTCACCTTTTTTTCTATCAATAAGATAGATGTACATCAGGATGCCCAAATGTATACACCATTTAAAATTACTTGTGAATTTCTTCTGGAAGTTATGCTTTGTATTGATATAAACTTGCTAACAGTTGAATGACAGTACTGGTTATTCAGACTTCAAGATATCTGTTTGGGTCTTCGATAATTATATAAGACAAAGTCTACTATTTCTGTTCCCCAAATGGTCAATTTATGAAGCCAGCAAATATAGCAAGAATTTCATGATTCTGAATACTAAAATTGGACACAGAATTCAGAATTAATCATCATCATGAATGAATATATCAGAGAATTTTAATTGCCTGGGCAAACTGCAAAAAAAAAAAGTCTTTTCTTTCCCAAGCCTGTTGAGAAGCGAGTGATCTGAACTGACTAAATTAAGGAGCAGACCTTTTATATTAGTTTGTCAACAGCATTTTGAAGAAGTAAAAGTCAAACATGAACTTTCAGGTTTAACTTGTGCTCTTATTGAATAGTCATATTATAAAAACTAAAACAAGCCTAATACCAAAAATAACAAAAGAGAATGCAACCACAGCCCATTTGAAATTACTTTCCTAATTCAAACAATAAATCATCCTTTTAAAAATACATTATTTGCTCAGCTCTAGCTATTTCTCAGCTCAAACTCCAGATGATCATATCAGACACAGACTTCCCCTGATACGATTCAGAATCACTAGTACATGAAGCCCTGAAAACTGAAAGCCATGTATTTCCAGTTAAATTGATTTTCAATGCACTTCTTCTTTGACCCAATCTTCTTTGACATAAAGTATTGAGACCTCAGTGCTCATAAATCATTTTTCTTGGTGTAATTCTAACAGTCTACATAACTGATAAATGTTGTTAAATATTAACAAAGGACCAAAAGCATTTAGCTTCCTGACAATGCAACTAGGCATCCAGTGGGATTTTCAGGTTTTCAGAAACAGCAAGTTAAGGTCCTCACCTGCACAGGTACTTTTGAAAATCCTACTGCCTGCCCCTATCTAGCTCATATCTAGCACATAGTGTTTTAGTATACATAGTAGTAATCATTATTTAAGTTCCTAATGATGTCATTGGAGATTCCTTGGGATTTTCAAAAGCAGCAAGTTAGGGTTCTCACCTCACCTGCTCAGGTACTTTTGAAAATCCTACCATTTCCATCTGTCTTGGAAAAATATAGTTCAGTCCACACAGTGCTAATGGGAGTATTCACATTTTTAAGAAGGAAAATTTGCATGACCAGACCAAAAGTGTGTGAAAATGGGAAAGAAACATGAATACAACAAAGACAGTGAAAGCATTTAAATAATCTGTTTTAGACCACTCACCTGGTAGGGATACAAAGTGACCCCATTTGTTCGTGACAAGGACCAGGTGCCATCAAGGTACTGGTGAGCTTGGATAGCCACAGAGTTCAGGATGTTGCCATTGCTGGGGCTGGTGGCCATTTGCAGGCTGACCTTGGCTTGGTGTCCAGGGGAACCATTTTTCTTCTCTACCCCATTGATGATTCCAAGGCTATTGGGTTTCCCACTGTGCTTATTGGCAACAAAGCTTGTGTAATTAGATGTAGCATAGGGAGTAGGCACATATGCCCAATCTCTGGGCTGCAGGCTGCCCATGTGTCGGGAACCCACTACGGTGGGAATATTGGAGATGGGTGGAGGAGAGCCTGGAGAGGCATCATAGGGTTCAGTGTTGGCAGTCTGCTCAAGTGTCAGCACCATCTGAATGGCTTCCTGCTTCAGCTGGTTCAGGTGGGTAGCACAAACATCGCATCTATTGTCCCTCTCATTCCACGCCTTCCGAATAGTATTGGGAACTTGAAGTTTGTCATGAATTACTGAGGAGAAAGCCAGGTCCTGTAAACCAAGCAGAGAAAGGGAGGGGAAAATGTTTAATTGCAGTGAAATGTCACAACTCTTCATTGTAGGTTTCAAAAGTCAATTTATGTGATAAGCTTTAAAAGCAAACAAAGGCCATTAGATCCAGTGAAGCTCCAGCAGCAGCAACGTTAAACAAACATAAGAAACTGGGTTGTTCTCAGGAGAAAACTTACTTTACTTTTACTGATAAATGGCAAATATTATAATACCATCACAAGCTTTAGTGCATGGCAGAGAGAATGAATTAACCTGCTTCACCCCACTGCACCTCATTCCTAGCTTGATGAAATCAAGAGCAACCCCACTTAAGGCAAATGGCTGATAAAATATAAACCTTATCTGCAGATCAGTATTTGGCCCTTCAGAGCAAACACAGTAATTGGACACCAGAAAATAAATTATACCAAAATTTCAGATTTTTTCAGTTTTGAGGGTCCAAAATTGACCCATTGTGCACAAATATTTTAACCATGTTTTATCAAAATTGTTTTCAAATGTTATTTTACTCCCCCCAAAATAACACCTGTTTTTCAGTCAGAAACACCATATTAGTAACAAAATATTGTTACGGGGGGGCACACCTGGGCCAAGGGTTAGCAAGGATTTAGTTAGGGAGCTTCTGGAGGGGCTGGATATTTTCAAGTCAGCCTGTCCAGATGATCTCCACCCTAGAGTTCTAAAGGAACTGGCTGACGTCATTGCAAGTCCCCTGGCACGGCTTTACGAGC